TTTTGAATATTTTTTAAATTTATTATGTTTTTCCCAAAAATAAAACACGATTTTATATATAAAAAATTAAAAATTTAATTTTGAACCTAAATTTATTATTTAAACAATTAATATAATAATATTCAATTAATTTTTTTTAATTATTTTCATTATGATTTTATTATATATTTTATTTATATTTATTATTATAAATTTAAAAAAATTTAGATATTCCTTTTAATAATTTGAATGTATAGAAATTTTATAGTAACTTAGCGATGAGTCATAATACATATCAGTGCCAAAAGAAATATGGCAGTAGTATGTGGTTAATGCAGAGTGCTGTTAATTCTGCTTAAATTATATGGTGTTTATTATTTTTAAAAGTGTGATCATAATTTAAATTTGAATTAGATTTATTTACAAAATGAGTTTCTTTAGTAAAGTATTCGGTGGTAAAAAAGAACCGGCGCCTTTGTCAACAGCCGATGCAATACAAAAATTACGAGAAACGGAAGATATGTTGATAAAGAAACAAGATTTCCTTGAAAATAAAATAGAAATTGAAATTCAAACTGCTAAGAAACATGGAACAAAAAATAAAAGAGGTATCTATGACTAATTTTTTTATTTAACAATCATATTAACAATCAACAATTTTCAATGATTAAAATATTTTGTCATTATGACGTTTCTCAATTCCGTATTCAATGTTCATTAATGTGTTATATACTATAATTATTAATGTTTTAAAATGTTTTAAAAAATATTTCATTTGCAATTAAAAAATTTATATTGAATTATAAATTATAATATTATTATAAGTTGTTTATTTTGAGTAATTTTACCTTTAGTGATACATTAAAATAAATATAACAAAAAAAACATGCTTTACAGCTGCAATTCAAGCCCTTAAAAGAAAGAAACGTTATGAAAAACAATTGCAACAAATTGATGGTACACTTACTACAATTGAAAGTCAAAGAGAAGCACTTGAATGTGCGAATACTAATACTGCTGTACTTACCACAATGAAAAATGCAGCAGATGCATTAAAATCTGTTCATCAACATATGTAAGAATTAATATTTAGTTTTATAATAGTGTTAATTAATTGGTTAATGTAAAATTAAATAATTTATTAAAATTTTCTTTATTAAAAATATTTATTAAAATTATTCTTTAGGGATGTTGATCAAGTACATGATATGATGGATGATATAGCTGAACAACAAGATGTAGCAAGAGAAATTTCTGATGCAATTTCTAACCCTGTAGCATTTGGACAAGATGTAGATGAAGAAGAATTAGAAAAAGAATTGGAAGAACTTGAACAAGAACAACTAGATAAAGAATTACTTGGTATTGAACCTACTGATGAATTACCAAGTGTTCCAGCTACTGCTATTCCAACTGCCCCAACTAGGACTCGCACAAGTAAAAATTTCAATGTATATATATATATATATATATACTATTATAATAATCTTTAAACTAATATATTGTTTATATTTATAGAAGCTAAACCTGAAGAGGATGAAGATTTAAAAGAATTAGAAGCATGGGCATCATAAGATAATATTAAAATATTTGTAAAAATAAATTTTGTAAGAAGCTAATAGTTAAAATTAGGTATCTACAGTTGAAAATCAGAACAGTGTACGTCAATACATTTTTTGGATTCATACAATTATCCTAATATTAGCAATAGTATTTTTTATGCACTGTTAAAATGATTAATTAAAATAATAATTAAGTTTTCATAATAGGTTTTTTGTTTTTTAGATATAAAAATTTTCTTATAAAAAAGCTTAAAATGTTATAACAATATAAATATTTATATTTAAACTAATCAATATATTTTATTGTTGCAGTAAGAAATTAATTATATCAGATAAATTTATAGTTTGCATATATAGTTGCTATAGATTGTATACATGTAATTAATAATGAAAAATACAAATTTATTATAAATTTTGTATACTGAAGGTTAAGTCATAAGATATATAATTGCTTTTTAATATTTGAATATTATTTTAATGTATATATATATATAACATTTTGAAATATGGCATTATTTAAATTGTATGGCTTTTTAAACTTGTATAAATGTATCTGTCATAAATAAATTCATTCAAATGTATACTATAATATACTGTATAATGTAATCACAAAGAAACAAATATAGTTATATATTTTTAAAATAAGAAATTATTATAATTTTTGCAATATTCTAAAAACATTATAAAATTATAAATAACTATATTTTCTTTTCTATAACTATATTTCTCTATCTCTAACTTTATATTGAATTAATATATTAATAGCTTTTATAAATATAAATAAGAATTTAAATAAAATAGTTTAAAGAATGATGGATGCATTAAAATGCGACATATATTTCATAATTTGAATAATTTTATAAGTATATATTTAAATTTGTAAGAAAACAATCTTTGAAAATTTAAAATTTATTTTTTTTATTTTAATAAATTATTTTTATTTTAATAATTCAATGATTAAAGTTTCAATTAAATAAACAAAAAATTATTATTAAAGAATTTCGCTCTCATATGCTACAATAGGTGTAGGAATATATTTTTTGTTTAATTTATTATTTAGTGTCGGTATAGGTAATGGATGAATGTGTGGTTTAACAGGAAATCTAGTTCCAGCAATATCAATTTCGTAACGAGTTTTGGATTCCATTATAAAGTCTGTTGTAACAATATTTGCATTAGTTTGTACATATCTTGATTTAGGAACACTGATAAAACCAAGGCAGATATGTTTTTCAGTAGCAAAACCATATCTATAAAATTAGATTATTAATTAATTAAAAATTATTATTATTAATTAAAAAATATAATAATTAGAAATATATTTTATTTTTAATTATATTTACCCAGCTGATGTAACAGTTCCTACAAATTCATTATTTCGATAAACTGGTTCACCACCCCATGGCCATATATTTTTATTAATATCTAATTCATTAACAATAAATAGTACTAATCGTTTTGATACACCTTGTTCTTTTTGATGTTGTAAAGCAAATTTGCCAATAAAATACTCTTTCTGTTATAATAAATTGTTAATTAATCATAATGTTTGAAATATTTTGTTTTTTATTAATGATAGATAATAGGAATGATAGAAATGATAGAAATGATAAAAATATATAAATAAATTCTATGTACTTACATCTAATTTTACACTGTATCCATTTCCAGCTTCATATGGTGTAACAAAAGGTGTCAATTCTTCAGCCCAAAATGGAATAAATTTTTCTATCCTCATAAAACGTTGTGTAAGTACACCTACATCTCGTGCTCCATAATCTTTACCTACTTCCATTAATTTAGAATATACATGAAGTGCATATTCTGATGGTATATATAAACAATAACCTGATTCACCAGTGTGTGTAAATGACATTACCATTACATCAGAAGCATAGGCCACATTAACATTCTGTTAATTATATGAAATTAATTAACAGAAATTTGTGCATATGTTATAAATCTATTTAATGTTAACAAAATAATTAATAGAAACAAATGAAAATATTTACTTTATATGTGAAGGGGGAAAGATGAATATCAGAATTAGATAATTCTGAAAGCAATCCTGCTGCTTTAGGTCCTACTAAATTAATAACAGTATATTTTGAAGTTACATCATTAAGACCTACTGAATGATCAGCCGGTAAATGTCTATAATAAACAAATAATTTATATATAATTTTATTTAAATTATATTATTAATTCCATTATTGATTTCCATTATTTTTTTACCTAGACATCCATTGATAAATACGTGTTTGTTGCGATGTAGGTGAAACCATAAAATAACTATTTTCAGCTTGTCTTACTAAAATGCAATCATTTTCATATCCTCCTCTTTCATTTTGCATTCCTGTATGTACTATACTACCAACTGGTATGTTTGTATCATTAGAACATAATTGTTGAAGATATTTTACAACTTCGTTACGACTAGACTATAAAAATACAATTACAATAAATAATGAAATATATTTTATAAATAATCATAATTTAAATATATACTTTAATTTCGATTTTTGAAAATGAACTCATGTCTATTATTCCCACCCCTTCTTTACATGCTAAAAATTCTTCTTTCATAAAGTCAAAAAATTGAGGTTTATAAAAACTTCCTGGTGGCATAATTGGTTTCTTTTGCCCTTCTGTTAATGAAATTTATTTTTTTTATTTATGAATTTAAATATTACTAAATGAAATATGAAAACTAATTTCTCACTTTTATGAGTTGAATTAAAATAAAGGGGACGTTCATAAGCCATTTTGACACCAAAAATTGCACCTCTTTCTTCAAGAACAGAATATAATGGCGAACAACGCAATTTTCGAGCATATTTATATTCACATTGATGAGGATATAAAATTGCATAATTTCTTCCAACAATTTCCTTTGTTCTTTGTTGTAAGTATTGTTTACTGCTATGTAAATTTAAAAATCGTTGTACACTAAAAGGAAGTAATTCTTGTGTAGATTCACCATTTATTAAACATTCAGCCACTTCTTTACCTATTCCTCCTGCTCCTAAGACAGTAAGAAAAGAATTTTAATAATAGAAAGATCTAAAAAATTTAAAAATCGTTTAAAAATTTGCTATATTTTACCTTGCAATGAATTTCCATTCATGCCAACAGCAACAAAATAATTTTTTACTTCTGGACTTTCTCCTAATATCCATCTTCCATCTGGTGTAAAATTATCTGGGCAGTTATATACTTTAGGTTGTACATTTTTTAAAAGTGGTAATCTATGTACTACTTTATCCCATAAAGGTTTCCAATGTGAAATATCAATTGTAAGATGATTTTTCCAATTTTTTATAGGTACAATACCATTTTCAAATGCAGGCTTTGATTCTGGTTCAAACCAACCAATTAATAAACCTCCTATAAATTTATAAATCTAATTATTTATTGTAAAGATTGTACAAATTTGTACAAATTAAATAAGATATATTAATATCTTAAATACCTTGCCATTCTCTTATATATGAGTATGAATCATAATCTCGTATACATGGTAGAACTATATTTGTATTAGAAGAAAAAGGAGAAGCAATTGCATAAAAATGTTCAGCAGGATATGCTGGAATTTTAACTGGTGGATTGCATTTTAATCCTAATTCTCGTGCCCACTAAATTTCAAAAATAGGAAAGAATTTGTCTAAAAAATAAGATTAAGTTATTTTATATTTTTAAAATTTGATTTTTATATTACCATTCCTGCACAATTAATAAAGTATTCACAAGATATTACTCCATATTGAGTTTTGATACTTTTTATGGTTTCATTTTCAGTATAAATTTCTTCTATATGACAATTTTCAATATATTTTGCTCCTCCAATTTTTGCTAATTTAGCTAAAACATCACAAACTGCACTAGAATTGGCTACTGCATCTTCAGGAACCCAAATTGCTCCTTCAATATCTTCAATATGTAAATATGGATATAATTTTTTTAATTGTTCTTTTTCTAAAATCTATACATTTTTACTTATTAAAAGTTGTTTTTAAATTCTAATTTTAAAGTTTATCTATTTAAATCTTACTTCACAATGTAAACCTGTGGGCATATTATAAGCCATTCTTCTTTTTAAAGCTATCATTCTATCTTTGGTTTGGGCTAAATATATACTTCCACATTGTTTTAAACCTATATCATATCCCATTTCTTGTAATTGTTGATATAACTTAATACTATAAGAAATTAAGTTTCTATGTGATATTGGTTTAAAAAGACCAAGTGTACCAGAGCCAAAATGAGAAGTTCCACTTCCAATTCTATGACATGAAATATTTTAATTAGTATAAATTATAATAAATTTTTAAGTAAAATAATTAGAATATTAATAATTTTTTAAAACAAATTATATAAAATTAACAAATTATATAAAATATAATTATATAAAATATGACAAGTAAAGAAATCCATTATTTTAACATTATTTTAAAATATTATTATTTATTTATTAATTACTTCATTTCATGTAAAACTGTACCTATTTTGTTCCAAAATGAGTATATCATTCCATCCATTAATAACAAGATGATAAGCAACTGAATTAGCCACAATTCCTGCACCTGCTATAACAATTTGTGATTGCGAAGGTATTGTTGTATGAAATGGAAATTGTTGTGTTGTGTGAGAATCATGATTAAATTTTCTATGATTTTTATTTTTATCGATTTCATTAGGTTTAAATGTTTCATTTTTATAGGTTATATTATTTAAATAATTTCTATAAGTTTTTAAAACTATTTTTTGTAAAGTTGTAATGTGAAAACATTTTGAACTCGCGTGTTGCAGCATTAAATAATATGAAAAATAATAACTATGGTTTTTATTATTTTTCTAAATAAATTGCAGAAATTAAAATTCTAATATATCTGAACTGTTCAGATGTTCTCTTAGATATTAAAGTTTTCAATATAAGAATAATGATCTTGTTAATTAATCTAAATTATCATTTGAAAATAAAAATTAAGGAACACTATATAATATTTTGATATTTTATATCAAAATATAAAAAATAAAATTTATAATTATTAAAAATTTTGAAAAAAATAGAAATTATTTTATATTAGTTATTTTTTTATTATTTTAATATACAATAATTGTATCTTTGCAAAATTGATCTGTTTGAAATTATTTAATTTAAAATTATTGAATTCAATTTTGGATATATTTAAATATTTAATATAATTATAAATGCGCGCTAAAACTTTTTTAACGATAAATCGAAATATTTAAATTTCGATAGATTTCGATTCTCAAATCTCTTCGATAAAGTGATCATTCAAAATGGGAACGATGTTAGATCTTCGGTTTTTATTAATATCGTTTTTATCATAAATTCAAGCGTTTATAATTGTTATTCGTATACTTTTACTAATTATTTTTATTAGGAATAATTATTACTACAAAATTCTTTATAATGTGGTTCATACTTTTCGCAATCTGCATCTTTAAAATAACGTGTATTTTTATCTTCATTATCTATTGCGTTGTCACTTTTCTTCTGGTTATGGTAAGAATTTTTTTCTTTTATTATAATCGACAATACTTTATGTTAACCAATAATGTTGTTTATGACAAAGTATAACGCTCAAACAGAAGAATTGAAAAAATATGTAAGTTTAGTAATATAATTTTTTCTTTTTTACAATATCTTAAGATTTTATGTATTCTACAATATGTAAATTATACATTATTATATTTTTTAGATTGTACCTCAAGATACAAATGTGGAAGAAGAATTTCCGATCGAAGTCAGTTAAAAAAATCACTTTTAATTAAAATTTATTATTAAAAAATTATATACATATTAGCGTATTATATTATATATTTTTCTTAATTATCGATTTTTTTTATATTTTCGATTTCTATAAATGATGATATGTTGATTATTTCAGAGTCGTGATAGCGTAGATGATAAATTGGAAATATTAACGGAAAAACTTACGGAGAAAGAACATGTGGTAAGAAATTAATTTGTTTTTCTATACATATCTTTTATTAAGTTTTTCTAAAAGAAATATAATTAGTTTTGCTATGCACATAGTTACAAAAATCGCAATGTGAAATAAAAGATGCAGAAAAGGTATTGACTGATTTGGAAAATAAAACATCTTCTTGTCGAGATCGATATCGCTCGTTAATGATTGATTTGAAAAAAGATATTCGGAAGACTGAAGATGAGGTTCGCGTAATAATATAATATAATATAATTATTGAAAAAAAAGAATAAAAGGAATTATGATATTATGATTATATTCAATAGGTAAGAATGTTACAAAATCAAATTTCAAGTTTATCAATTCGACGAGAAGCTCTTCGAAGTGAAGTATTAAAGGTAGTGCTTTGATTGTTTTAAAATTGACGATACATATAAAATATAAAAATAATTCATAATATAATTACAGCAACAAGAAGACTATCAAAAAATGCTAAATAGTTTCTCTAAAGAATTGGAGAATAAAAAAATATTATTCTGTACGTTATTATAAAGTTTTCTATTTTGTTTAAAATTTGCTTTTTATTATTTTAATTGATTTTTTAAATGTTTGTAGCTTCAAGTATTGAGAAATCAAGACATCCTCGTGTGAGTTATTTCATTTTACCATAAAAAAATTTTATCGTCTTCTTGTATGCATAATAATTAATTTTTTATTAAATGTTCACAGTATTGTTTTTCATATTAAAGAAAGAAAATTAGAACAAATAATTAAGAAGACATTATCAAATATTACTTTATCGAACATCGATTTAATATTGAACGGTCAGAGAATAGTTTTTTGATTGAGTTGTAATGTTTATTTATTATTCACAATATGTACATTTGAGTAAGCGATCGATATGAAAGTTTTTTACTTTCAAATGCATGGTAAAAATTAATATTGAAACAAAAATTTAATTCGAGTTTTATGAATTTCGATTATTCATACAAATTAATTCTTATATAGAAAGCAAAAACAAAAGCAAAAACAAAGTACAAAATATTATTTTTATTGATTAATAATCAATTAATAACTAATAATCAATTAATAGTTTATCAAAATAATAATTTTAATTAATATTTTAGTTATAAATCTAAATATCTTAAAAATGATTTTTTCTTAAGATAAAACAGGTTAATATAAAATATGAAGTTTATAATTTATACTTTAAATATTGCATGATATCAAATGTAAATGGTAAAAAAAATAATACAGTATTTAAAGATGATAGAATTTTCGCATGCAAAATCATAAAAAAAGAATAAAAAAAAATACTCTATGAGATCTTATTTTTGAAATGTATTAATTTGTAGGAGATTAAAAATAAAAATAAGTAAGGAATAAGTAGATAATATATTTTTTTCATTCAAGATATTTTTTTCATCTTAAAAATGAAAAGAGTTTAAACTATTTATTTTGAGTGCCTTTTTTTTCATAATCATAGAATTGTACATTCATGTGAACATATTAAAACAAATAGAGATGTTTTAAGGCACTTGCTTCTTTTCCGATGTATAACGTAATAGTTTTTTCGAAATTTTTTTCGTGAGCATAGAGAGTTCCTTGAGAAATTGTAATAAACATAAAAGGAACATTATTTTTTATTTGGAAAGAATACTATAAAATGTTCGTTGAGCTTGTTAAGTGCACACGAAAGGAACCTTGCTGTTTATTCTTTTAATTTTTTCTTATTTCTTCTGTTATTCCACGCATTTCATTATATTATCTCATGGGACATTTTTTTTTATATAAAACAAAACTATTTATCAACATACTTCTTGAAAATCATACAAGAAGTTTGAGATTTCTGGACATATTTTTTTTAGTTTGTCTTCTATTGAATGCAATAGAATACATTCAAAGCAAACATCAGCATAACAATTTGTTACTCATAAAATTCATTAAAACTTGTTATAGAGATTTGTCCATTCTGCAAATTATTATAATAGTTAAAAATTATTGAAAAAAATTGAAATATACTTTCAAAAATAAAAATTACCGTTTCTTTATAATTCCGTATGATGTGATGGAAATTTTTTTAGAACTGCATGGTAAAGATTGTAAAATGCATAAAAACTAACACTCAAGATGACGATCAGTGCTGAGCCAAATATCCAAGATAAAAAATGACCATCTATGATATCCGAGGTCTCTTTTCTCTTTCTTGCGCTAATCTCGCCCAGGGTGGTGCCTTTTCGCTCTTCCATCAGTCTTTTCATGTTCGCTAATTTCTCACGCAGTTCATCCACTGATTCAGCGATATCTTCGATTGAATCGCCGCCAGGTAGATCTACAACTTGGACGAATAAAGTATAATTCGAGAAATAGGGACATTCAAAAGCATCATTTAAATGTAAAACAAAGAAATGTTTTGAAGAAAATAAAAACTTTCTATTTTGAATATATTTTGAAAAAAAAGATTATTAATAATTAAAAAGAAATAAATTTTTTTGTTATTCATTAAAAATAATATTTAAAGAGATACTTAGAATTTAAAAAATTGATATTTATAATAAAATACTTTTTTCTTTTAACAAAAAAGTATAAAGATCTTTTAACATTTTATTAGGAGTGATGTAAGTTCTATTTTTGAAAGATATATTGAATTGAAGCTATGACTACTTACCCGTAGCTCCTGGCGTACAAGTATGTGTTACTGTTTTCATGATGCTTGGTTCTATCTTTTTTAATTGTATAACTTGGTCCAGCATTCGACACGGAGGTCGGTATTGATTATCCAGCATCCTACTCTGTAGCGCAGTCTCCATCTTCTGGAAAATTAAGCGTCTCCGATTTTTTTCTTTTTAAGTCGATCAAAATTATCACATTGAGTTACGATCAATCTTAAAAAAAAATGCTTCTATATATTTTAAAATTCACTAGAAATTAAATTTTAAAATATGATGATCTATCTTCTTTATAGGAATACATTTTTTTATTATTGAAAAATGAATTCAAGTGTTAAAAATAAAAATTTTTGATTTAAATCCTGTACATTTCAATATTTATAATATATATTTATAGATTGCTTTAAATAAATATCTAAGGACTTTTTAATAGTTACTATTTTTTAATATTTTAATAATTAAGTAGAATCTATTTAATATAAATTATACATATTTGGAATTTAAGAAATTAATTCAATTGTCCCGCGCTTCTATAAAATTCTGAAATTGTAGCGCTACAAGTGATCATCGATCTTGTCGCAATTTGCAAACACGGCTAAAGAAAGTCGTACGACATTCGGGCGGAGTCGGACGCACCTTCGGGGACGAAGGTTGACGTCACGGTGCAAAATGGCCGCCGGTATCGGAAATGGAGTAGCATAGAGGCTGGGCGGTAGGAACGAACTGTAGGTGTGTCAGTACTCGGCTTTTCCGCGATAATGCCATCGAAATGCCGATTGTTGCACGCTGACTTGCGCCTCGTGCATAACTTGTACGTACGATCGGAATCGTTTCGTTGGCCGAGTTTCCGATGGTGATAATAAATTGTGAAATAGTCGGCGAGGCAAAATAAGCGGTGTTCTGAACTCCCCTCGATATATATCTTCCCTGAAACAAAATTTTTTCTGTTCATAATTTACTTGTGTTATATACATTCAATAGATAGGATGAAATCTTGTCTAAATAAAATCGAAGTGAAAAGTAAACGGTGGCCTGTCCAGTGATCATTCTTATACTGTTCACGGATATTTCATGAATGTCAGACTCATCTGCCCGGCTCCAGAAGAAAGTGCATTGTGGATATTATCTTTGTGTCGAATTGTTTCGATTGAATATTAATTTACGTTTCTGATAAAAAGTGAAATGGAAAAGGAAGAATACGCGTGTATGATCAACGTATAAGAGATCCAAGTGTGCGTAACATAGTGTATGTTCACTGATCCTATTTGTGATCTGTCAAAACTGACTTAGCTATCTAACAATCGTACATATATTTATAGTGAAACTATTTGTATATTGGATATCAAATCTTCCTCTTATTACGAATTGATTAATTTTTTTTAAGGAAAATATTCTCGTTGCCTACGACTGTGTCTTAACTGCGTGTGATCCTTCACAACGACACATCGATTGATTCCCTTCCGTAAACAATATTTAATAGCTGCTAAGAATGTATCGTCCAATGCTGAAAACAAGATATGAATTTGAATTACGGTGAGAAAGTGACCGAGCGAGTAATGTTGAACTTGGAACTGTTAAGAGATTATTCGAGCAATGTTTCTGCCAATAGGTATCAGTTAACCAAACAAAAAAAGAACGATCTCCATTCTTCACAGAGTAAAAACCACGAGAAGCTAAATTTCAGGATTTTAGTATTTCTTCTGGTTAAACAGTATATTCTTTAAAGAGGATAACATTATCAGGATTTCGACTCGTAGATATTGTTAGAATTATTAAAAGTGTAACTGAAAAAAAAAAAATAATAAATCTTCAAAAAGAAAGTTTCAAAACAAATAAATCAAAGACAGAAAGAGAAAGAGAGAGAGAAACACATCCAAACGATGAAATTGACTAAGAAAATGATTAATTAAAAAGTTCGAGACAAATTAAAAGATACATATATATACATATCGAAAGCGATAGGTGGCTTTCGTTGTCACTGGCGCGCACGCGAGTGTCCATATTATATCCGGCGCGCGTGTTTGTTTCTCATTTTGTTTCTTATTTCTCATTTGCGTGTATATTTGAAGTGGAGTTTCAGTGTGCTGGAGGGTGAAAAAATAGTAGAATACACAAAATGTGGAATATGATGTGTGACGTGATGCCTACTATTGCGGAGGACAGCATTAGCCAGCGAAGTTCGCAATATTCCGGTGAAGATGCGAACTTCGAGCAATTGATGGTATCAATGCTTGACGAAAGAGACAAACTGGTGGAATCATTGCGCGAAAACCAGGAACGGTTGCAGGAACGGAAGCACGTTTGCAGGAGGTGGAGAAGGAACGAGATTCATTGAATCGTCAATTGAACGCTAATATTCCTCAGGTATATCTTAATAGTTTAAAATATAGTTAATTCTTAAATATGTAATATATGCATATATTATACTCATATGTATATTATTTATTTCTTAATTAAGCGACTGAAATCCATGATATAAAATAATTCTTTATAATTTTATTAGAGATTTTAGCAAGTAAATAACAACATTCATGATATAATTCATTTATGATTTATGGATTATATATATAATAAAAAATAATGAAGCTGAATTTAAAATAACTATATGATTGGTCTGACTTTTTCAAAAAAGATATTTACATGTTATGGATATATTCAAATTGCATTATTTTTAAGGATTAACTATATTTATTTTTTTATTTTTAATATTAATCGATTTATATTTTGATATTTTAATTATTCTAAAAAGAATTAAATTGACTGACAAAATATTAATTGGTATTATTTATATATTAGTTGGTATGTTTAATCTACAAATTGTTAAATGTGATTTATTCCATATATAAGACGTCAGAATAAATGATTGAAACGTGTCTTGAACCGAATAAATAAAATCGTGTTATATTGATACGAAGAATATTACATATACTTATAACAAAAATGATCAAAGATCTGATTTAAAAGATATATTCCTTTACAATTTTATATAGAGACTTTTAAATGTGATGCAATTTTATTTTTTAATATTATAATTATTATTTCAAGGTTAATTTCATTTTATTTTAATAAAGATAATTTTATTATTTGAAACGACGTTATTTATCATTATCATTCTTATTATTAATTTATTATTATATCACGTGATTTCTTGATTTTAACATATACACAAGCATTTATTGCCCGTTTCCATTTCTTCGTTCTATTGCTCAACCTAGATAAAGAATAATTTAATGATGTCATAAAAGAAGGAAGATTATAAATGCACGTGAGTAATTACATGTGTTAAAATTCATGTATAATACTTTATGATATTTTAAGTATATTAATTAATAAAATTATGACTTGAATCGTAGTATACTAATAAAACTGTTTTTTTTAGCAAATATATAATAATTGAAAAAGAGGCGATTTTGATATTATATATAATATATATATTATATATTATATATAATATAATATATCAATGATATATATAAAACATTTATTTATTTGGTTCAATAGAGTTAAATCAGCACATGTTGAATTTGTTATTTGATTAACAAGAGGAAATATAGATTAATATTTGTATCTGAAGATAAAGCCAAATGATTTCTTTTATCATAAAAATTATTTAGAAAAATTATTTGTTCTATTAGCCAGGATTTAATTCATTCATTTAATATATTCCTTCACAAATCTTTTCAATTAATATAATATAATATAATATAATATAATATAATATAATAATAAACTTAACAATAATATATTTTTTATTATGAAATATTTTAAGAGCGACGTTAGTGTTTTTTTAATTATACAATATATGGCCGATTATAGATAATTATCGAAGCTTTTATGTAATGATTATCATAGAAACGTTTGACAATTGACACGTTATAGAAAGATAGAAAGAAATTTTTAGTTTAGAATATAAATAAAGTTTTATTTTATTATTGTTATTTTGAAAGTATAAAAATTGAATTTTAATTATTCGTTAGATAAAAAATTTTGAATTTTAGATAGAAAATTTCTTGAACTGTAATTAAAGAAATTTTGATTAAACTAAAATTATTTAAAATATGATTAAGGGATTATATATAATTTTTTTTAATTTTTTACATTTCATCATATATTACTATAATAATAATAATAATAATTTTCTTTTTCATCATTATAAATTATTATATTAGAGATTAAAAAAGGACTCTTTTTTTAATATAAGAATATTTTTATTAAGGTGGAATTTTTATATAGTGTAATATAGTACAATGATTATTTAGTTTATTAATTCA